TAATAGAAACTAGACTTTACTTTCTTTTTATTATCGTAATAGAATAATAGGAAGAGAATGTATTTCATTTTATTGCTGCCATTGGTATATACTTAGTTCCGCCTGTGACGGAGAAATTTTTTTTCTTTCATGGGAGAATTGTTTTTGAGTACACTGGCGATTCAGAGCAGTGATGTTTTTTAAATTTACCAAGCATTTCAAAGCAAACATGTCAAACGCTTGATAATGACACAACTCTTTGACGGCTGCTTATGTTTTTGGCGTTTTAAGGCAACGAAACGAGTTTTTACTGCGACTATGCAAAAAACGTAAGTACGCGTTTCGTAGCAAATTGAAGAATGATTTGCTGCAATAATCAAACAGAGCTCAGAATAAATCACGGCGAAATGTAAGCCTAGAGCCATAAACGCTCAACGAGATAACGAATTCCAGTGGGTCATAGCACTGCGTCGCATTGGTCTTGTAATTGGATTTTTATGCGCGGCGAAGGCACAATTTTTCGCGCACTTTTTGCCGTTAAAATCCGTGCCGCTTCGCTTGGTTCCAATCAGCAGGTGGGCCCGTGCGACTTGGCCAGGTGGAGAAACTTGGAGCCTTTCCGATATTATGCAAAACTGACCCCACTCGCTAGATGGCCACCATGCAGCGTTGGCCATGCGGCAATTGTTTTCGCAACGCTCAATCGGGACAGTTTGAGAACGGCACTCGAAGCTGCTGGTCGCCACTCCTAATCGCATTGTGTCTTTATTACTTAGTCCGTCGCTTTCAATCGCAATTGAATGAGAAACAGTTGCCGAAGTTAGTCCAGTTTGGTGCCTGCACACTCCATTAGTGCCAATTGCCGGAAAGCGTCGTGCTATAATTAACGAGTGCATTGTTGGAGTTTTTACGAATGGATCTTGTAAGAAGCCGCCCAACTGTTTTGCAACGGCACTGATCGTTATTGGATATTAGTTAGTTGGTGGAGTGCGCCGTGCAATGTGTTTGCAGTGATGAAAAAGCGGTTACCAGCCAAGCGTCGATAAACCAATACGATGAACAGTGTGCGGGCGCCTCTTTTATTTCTACTTCTGCTCAGTCTACTTTCGCAAGTAGCTCGCAGTGACGTCGAGGATGTCAGCTCCAGAGCCGACCGCGAGACGATGCTCCGCCAGATCGAGGAGGAGATGTTGCTGCTGAACAAGTCCGGCCACGCGAGCCGCGACAAGCGCGCTCTCGGGATCCTCCTGCAGGGCTTCATGGAAGCCCTGGGCTACACGGTGACGCCCATTCGGCTGGCGTCTCTGCCCCATCCCGTCGGCACAGCTGCAGCAACTCCTCGGGCGGGAGACGCGGTGCCGCCGGCGACGACCACGACAAACGCGTCCGCGTCGGCGCCTGCGCGCCAGCGGGAGACCATCAGGTTCACCGGGCTGCTCAACTTCGGCAACAACGAGAACTCCACAAACTTGATCGACCATCTTTCGCGGTACGAGCAAATGTTCCATGGAAACACGTCGACTGCCGCGAAGCCCGCAGCCGCGCCGGCTGCCGTTAGCGGCCCGGACATCGATCCTCGCTCGCGGCCGCCGCTGAAGGAGCCGCTCTTTGTGCCGATCCCGTTGCCGATCGTGCCGAATCTGCCGCCACCCCAACCACCCTCGCCGATGCCGCTGGACCACAGCTACAACGAAGGCTCGAGCTACGACGACAAGGACAGCTCCGAGGACGTCTCCAGTAGCAAGGACGACGAGGGCCAGACCGGTCAGTTCGACGAGGAAGAGGAGGATTCTCGCGACAGCGACGATTTGGAGTACAAGCAAGAGAAGTACGACAATCCCGAGGATCGTAACTACGAAAATAAGGAAGTGGACGAGAGCTCCGAGGAGCCGAAGCCCAAAGAAAAGCACGTGGAGAAAGAATACGGCGGCGATAGCGGTGAGCGGCCCAAAGAACATCTCATACAGACGGAGTACAAGAACAACAAGAACGTGGAAAATTTTACCGTGGAGAATAAAGAGATTCACGACCCCAGCGAGGTAGACGTGGAAGGACCACCGGGTGGCAGTAAATTCAATCACGCGACCTTCGTCGACGAGCCAAACTGGAAAGAAGAGCAAGACGCCAAGATTTATAAAATAGCCGCCGAGCAGGAGGCACACGCCGAAGCTCTGGCCGAGGAAAACGCCGAGCGCGAGAAGGACCGAGAGCGCAATCACGAGGAGCAAGAGGAGTTCCACAGAAACAGAGAGAAGGAGATCGAGGACGCGAACGACGAGCGCGACTCGAGCTACCAGAAGAAACCGTACTACGAAGACGACGAGGACGAGGGCTCGTCCGAAAAAGGCCATTACGAAGATCGCCGTAACTACGACGAAGACGCGCACAAAGAGGCCGATCACGAGGAAAATGGAACGCAGAGAAACGAAGCTCGGGCTCAACTTGGCAGCAACGTCGCTCGGCCAAAAAACTACCAGCCAGACACGGACTTTTACCCGGCGACCTTGCCGATCAGCTACGACCGCGACCAGCCGCCCAAGGACCAAACCCTTCGCGACAGTTACGGAAAGAGTCTCGAAATCCCCAATGGCAAAGTCGACGAGCGCGTCGCCGAGTACATCACCATGTTCAAGAACCCACAGACTGGAATTTACGATCCAAGCCGTGCTCGCGAATACCAGCACGCTCGAATCTCCTTTGACCACACCGATCTTATCGACGGTTTCAACAGAATACAAAAAGAGTACGGCTCGCCGGAAAATAAGTACGAGGAGTACGAGATCGACGGCAGTGACCGCGTGGAACATCGAAGCAATGGTGAGCACGCGGATGAGTCGACGACAAGACACAAGCCAACCGAGTGCAGTTGCAAGAAGAAAAAGAAAATTCAACTGGAAATGCAGGGGGCGCCGAGTACCGAAAGATCGGTAACGCAGCCGCCACCATCGATCACGTCGACGCGACCAGATACTAGCTACGGACCCTACTATTCGACGATGAAATATTTGTACGACCCTCTGGAACGCGATCGTGGAATTATTTCGAGACTGACCACGCACGACAAGCCGACGACCGTGAGATTCGAGAATCACGTTAACTTGGTGACCAACCGCACAACGATAGGTCCAACCATCCCGCCGGATAGACTAACGACTTTGAGTTTCTTACACGAAGCCGAGAGTAAGAAGATTAGAGCATGGCCGGCGCCCTTCGATTATCTTTACGACAACTCCGAGCGCAAGAGCGTCGTCTACGAGAAGCCACCTTCGGTTGTGTCGATGCCAGCGCCGTTCAAGTCCAACAAGCCAAGTTGCAATCATCACATGATGCCGTTTGCTGTGCACAGGGATAAGATGATGTGGTCGGTTAAAGATGGATCCGCTGACAGTTTCGAGAGCGCCAAAAATTTCAAGGAACCAAATAGTTTTCACGAGAACAGGAAAAACAAACCGAGCGAGCAATTGACAACGATTAACAAGCGAGTAGAGTAAGTTCGTAAACATATCTTACTTGGTCGTCACGTAAAACTTATACTTTTTATTTTCCTAGATATTTCCCGATTCACTCTTCGACTAGAGCTACACTTTACGATAAAAAAAAAAGACCAACTAGCAATGAGAAATTTTCAAGCTATCACGCGAGTACAAAGTCACCCACGCGTACGCCGACCCTTTCGGACATCATAACTGCGCGACCGGAAAGACTACGCTCAACTAGAAGCCCACGTAAAAATCGGAGAATTTTGAAGCATGCCGATCAAACTATACGATCGACGCCAGCGAATATTGAAGAATCGACAAATTTACCAGCGATCGAAGTGAAATACACTTACCCGTATGAACAAAGCCAATTCGGCAATGTCAAAGGAAAGACGACGAATTACGTTAAGAAAGGGGCTATGCTCGTGACGATCCCAGAACCCGCGCCATATCATTACCACGGGGCATTTGGAGAGTTCACCGAGGAACCGCCGGCTAACACCGAGAAAATTGAAATTAAGGAGTACAGAAATCACGTTGCATCTGTCGAAGTGGCAGAACTCAAGCAGCTTCATCCTGAAGGTCCGATGCAATTCCTCAAATACACGAGGAACCTTTGAGCGAATCAGTTACTTGTGTCCTCAAATTGTTAGTATTTTTTATAATCTTTCATTAGTTCTACCATGTCAATACAATTATGTATTTTGGTGTTTTAGAAACAGCAGTTGACGATTTCGCAAGATAAGACTGTCAAATGAAAACTAATAAGATTTTTATGTAATTACTAGTCGAATGACTTTGTAAATGAAGTTTGTACAATGGCGTTGCAATGTAAAGAAAGTGCAATATAAGCTTATTATAAAACATTCTATTATGATTGAATAAACATTCTTCAAAAGTTTAATTAGTCTTATTTCTAAGTTTCGTTCTATTTGAGATACTTTAACAATTTTGATATTTTCAATTTGTTCGTTTAGCGTCACTAAAATTTATGAGACATTAATATTACTTTCATTGCAATCTCTATCAACTATGAAAATATAAAGTCTTATCTGTCTGTGAAATTGAAATAAAAAGCAAAAATATTGAGGAAACGTTGCAAAATTGCAGTAAGTGACTTTAACATTCCTTTATTCGATTAACGATCAACGCGTCTGGAAAAACAATATGAAACAAAAATTATTCCCTCATTCTATTGATTTGAAGGGAGTGAAAAAGGATAAAATCATTGGTAGATTACGTAACCAAGCCGTCTATTAATTTTATTTATTTATATCAAAAGATTTGCGGTCTACATCACTCGCTCTCTTAGCAACGTCATCTACTTACGGTGCATTTTCATTATTTATTAGTCTAATACAGTAGACTATTCGCGAGCTAATCAGCTGTTTGCGAGATGGATCGCCCGACTTCTGAAAATCGGGGCGTCAGCCGAATCTCGAGGCCAATTAAAGAAGCGCCATAATTATAGCGTCTGTAAAAGTCCAGGAAATCGTAATTTCGGCCAGGGATCAAAAAAATTCATTGATTTTTGTTGCACGATTATCAGTTGAAATTTTATTTACAAATCAATAACAAAGCTTGTATTTTATATTACATAATTAATTCATGCCTCTGTGCGGTGTTAGAGTTTTTAAAATAAGCGTGCAAAAATAGGTTCGATTAATGCTAGCACATTCTGTTTATAATTAGCGATTAATCTGCTCGCCTTTCATATTTCTGTGGGGTGCTTGATCCAAGAATTCATTGACTATTATATATAAACGCACGTATCAAAAACTGTTTTACATTAAACAACAATAGAGATGTAACTCTAACAATATTAACATAAACACCAATCGCTAATAACTGTTATCATTCCATACATTGCGCGCTACAATTTCATCGCCTCACTCCTAAAACCATTCAATATCTATAATAGGCAACAGAATTATTCTCACAGCTGCATTTGATTGTTAACGTATAAATATCGATTTTTTATACAATGTCCTAGTATAATACAATATCATTCGGCTATTTAAATTCTATTGAATTTAAAAATACATTATCTTAAACTTTATGTATATATATATATATAATAAAGAAACAGAAGGTATGTCACATCCACACCTTCTGCTTTTTACTAGCAAACAAACATTTCCTAAAAAAAAGTCTGCTGCTCAAACAGTTTTCGCTAAGAAAAACAAAAAAAATTAATTTTTTACCAAAATCTTAAATATCTAATGAAAGAAATACGACTAAAGCTCCAAGTTTAGATAACTTTATTAGCGAGAAACTGTAAAATTGAGAAAACCGAAGAGCCTATTGAACAATTGACTAGTGCTATTTCAAACGCATCAACTAATATTTTGAGAATATCAATTTGAAGTAGTTCATCTAAAGAAGCTACTTTATTTGAAGATTTGAACACATTCGTTCAATTGTACTTGTGTATCATAAACTCTTATATTTGATTTCCAGTCTAGGCTGGCCTTATATTACCCCGCACTGTAAACATTTTCTTCGGTCGTCCTCGCGCTTGTCTCGGCTGAGGTATATAAATAATTCTATATGATTACATGTAAGCGAGATTTCATTTTATGATGATTTCGTCTTATGACCATCAATTCGTCTTACGATTACGAAAAATATGTACAATTCAATTATTATTTACAAATGATACTGTTATGTTTTCTTTAACAGCACTTTAAAACTTGAAATAATCAACAATATAAATTTTCTAAAAAATAATACAAACCTAGGAACCATAAGCTAATTTGCTAAGTTTACTATTTTCCTCTTTCAACAGTGCATTTTCATATTTCAGCCTGAGAAGCTCTTTTTCGAGAAAAGCAGCCCTGATGGCAATTTCATCTTCTTTCGCTCGCCTTGCATCTCTAGACCTTTTAGCGGCTTCGTTGTTCTTTCTCCTTCGCTCCATATACATGGCGTTCTTAGTATCAATATCCTCAAGTGAGTCAGTAGGTGACATTGGGTTTTTGCTTACCCTACGCATTTTGATGTTCGTACCTTCGTTCGTTCTCTTTACTGATTCCAACATTCTGTTGCGAAAATCATAATAGGCTTGCTTTTGATCTGGGTCAAACATCACATCAGAAACAAGTGAAATAGACAGTGGATCTTTCGGATATGCTTTGAACGGCCTTGGAGCTTTTTTAGTATCCTCCATTGGAGCGTGCGTTTTCACTGACTCTTCCATTGTGAAAGACTCAGTGGAACTGGGTGATGTCGTTAAATTCGGAATAGTGGGTGGCATGTTCATTGAAGCTACCACCATTGGCAGTCCTAAACTAAGTGGTATGATAGGGTATGGATTGTCCAAACCTTCACTGACGATGGTACTCGCTTTTTCGGGAATCGGCTGAAAATTATTTTTCTTTGTCGAGCTGGTATCGGATTGTCGAATCGGCATGTGAGAAACATTCTCATATAGATTTTTCCTTTCGTGATTAGTGTTGATGAAGTTTTTCGATTCGTGAAGATGTGGGTAAGGGTCAGTTTTGTTTTGCCGAACTTTTTCGTCATCTCTCTTATCATTTTTCCTGCAGTTATGATAGCAATTTCGACTTTTGGCGTCAACATTATTTGACTTCTCGTAATGTTCCAGATGTGAAGTACTACGAAACGATAGTGTACAACAGCTTTCTTGTTCGCTATCGCTGGAGGTAGATGCTGGAGAGCTAGGCGATAGCAATTTTTTGCAGGTTAGATCGACGGGATTATCCACATCGGATTCCATCTTCACACTAGTCGAATGGCTTATTTGTTTATACAAATCTATAGGAGCTGGTTCCCGTGTCATTTTAGTAGATTTTATCTAGCCTAATTACAAAGTTACATTTTTTAGTTGATATATTTCAGTACAGAATCAAATGATAAAATTAATAAAACAAAACAGAAACTATTCATCATTCAAATTTATGAACATAATATCACTATTTCAAAGTATTTTTTTATTTAAACATATTAAAAATAATACTGATTTGTTTTGAAAGCTTAAGGAGACAAACCAATATTAAACAGTTAAAGTTTGAAATTTTCTATGTTAGTTTGTGAAAAATTGTTCTAATAAAAATATGAAGTTACTGTCAACATAATACTCTATATTTATTGAAATGATTTAGCACCGTGCATGATCCTGAGTGTCAAAATGAATAAAAAGTGATGTCAGCCTCGTGTGGCATTTTCACCCTCGTTTCGCTTGGGTTCAAACATCCACACGAGGTTCGAATTATATTCTTGCAAATAGTATCGAAATGTATTATGTAAGGGACTTATTTCGTTCATTAGGATCTGTACTTTGAAATGAGTGAGAATTTTTTAAATAAAATCTTTTTTTCATATTGAAAAATACTTTAATAAATTATTAAAAAATTCAATAATAAACTAGCGTTATAAAATAAATTAAGAGTCCATTCCTGGTTAGAATAAATTAAAGTCAAAGACTACACTGTAAACAGTGTATAACACTACTTTGTAAAAAACTATACTGTTTTTAAGACTACAATATTTTTTCAACATAATGTTAAAACGTAATTTTAAGAATCAAAAAATTATTTTATTGAAAAAGAACTCTACTCATATGGAACATGGAATTTTTTAGCACCATTAGCACCCAAACTTTTCATCCCCAGTCTAACGATCAATATATATCCTCTAAAAATAATTTTTATTCGAAAATTACAATTATAATAAACATTCGTAACTGTGCCAATAATACAGATCTAAAATAATTTTTTGCGTAAAAATCGAATCCTAAATTATAATTTATCCATTACGTCAGTTTTTTTAGATATCCTAACCTAAAGAGGCAAAAAAGGCGGTTTTTTTCGTTTATTGGAGAGTCTGTAGTATTGTGGAAAAATTATTTTTTTATAAACAGAGAAAACTACCCGAAAGGCCAACTCTTACCCTTCAAAATCTATTGTTCAGATTTGAGATTTTTTTTATCGACATATCATTGATTGAAATCAAGTATTTTAGCAGTTTCGACGCACTTAATTTTCTAAATACACACACACACGCGCACGCACGACGCACGTACGCACGCCCAAGCGGACACACATGCGCACACATATATATAGCATATGCAAAAATATTTCACTTCAATGAAATTATCTCGATGAAAAAAATATCTAAAATCTGTAAAATAACCTTTGAAAGATAAAAGCTAAACTTTCAGATGATTCTCTCCTTTTATAGATACAAGAATTTTTCACGACACTATAGAACGTTAAATATACCAAAAATTACCTTTTTGACTTCTTTAAGTTAGGATATTTAGAAAACCTGACCTAATGGACAAATTCTGACTTAGGATTCGAAGTCTACGCAAAAAAATTACGTTTGAAATGGCCCTTTATTGGCCAAGAACAATCATAACCCCCTATTTTGCAGATATTAATTTAGATTTTAATAATTATCAGTAAAAAAATCAATAATTGAAGAGAAGAAAACAATGAAAAAAGTTACCGTAAAGTGAGAGTTAAGACGAATAAATCCTTATTACAATTTGTGGAAATACTAAAATCACAAATCCAGAAAACTTCGACGAACAGAGTTGACAGCCCACTAGCCAGCGGCACACTGATCGGGCTTTTCCGAAAGATAGTCAGACTTAGTCGGATTATTAGTGAATGATCCTTGGGTAAGGCGGCGCATTTATACAAACTGTTCTATCCCTTCAGGAAAGCCCACCGTCATGCTTGTGAAACGCAAGAACTTAAGAAGTGGGGAACGGTTGGGTAGATGACGACATCCCAAGTGAAAAGTAGGAAACACGGAAAGAAAAGAAAATGTAAAAAGAAAAAAAAAATGGCGTGTATCGATCAAAAAACGCAAAATATGAAAAAATACTGGAATGTAGGTAGAACAATTATTTTCAAGCGGATTTGATGAGTAAAAAATGTTCTAGTTATTAAAAACAATAATAAAATAAAAATATGATGGCTCATATGGAAAAACTACGCGCAAAATGGTTGATAAAAGGAGTTATACGGTATCCCCTTAACGTGTCAAGTAGCGGTTAAGTATTTACGTTACTTATCTAAAAACCATTTTTACCGCCGAAAACCGAGGATATACGATAATAAGCAGGCTTCCGTAAATATTGTGAGCCGGAGTTGCCACAGTGTGGAATTGAAATCTTTAAATGTATTCGCACAAATCTTTCGTATGGTTTACAGCGTCATGATGAATATAGTTATAAAACGTCGTTCACAAGAACTGATTGTAATAGCACTAATTAAAAATTAGTGTTCATACCATTATAACAATCTGCTCTTTCGATAACATCTTATAACTATATTCAAATTGTAGATGTAACGATTGTATGCACACCAACTGCAGCCAATATTTATCGTCGAGTCAGGCAGCGTGTCGATAACAAGTATTTTTTATTTTTTTATTTTTTTTTTATTTTTAGCGTCATATACGTGAATCGTCTTATGCATATAGATAAATAAGCATTATCCACTGTATCACAGAAAACACTCCGCCCTAACAGTTTGCAGTGCTCTTATTTGATTAATGCCTCTACCACTTAGTAACGGCATGGATTAAAGTGACCAAGATAAGAGCATTACGAAATAAGAATTAATATCGACATGTGACGGTGCTATATAACAACGGCTTTATAACAACGGAGACATCAAATGGAGACAATCGCCGGCTAATGAGCATGCCACAGACAGAATCACTTAAATTTCTCGAGTCTTTCTTGTAAAATAGTTTATTGGTACAGAGTCGATTAATTTGATAGATTCAATAGGATAACAAGCAGGTAGATGCGCATCTGTAAGTTCGCAACAACAGCAAGGAGAATGAAAGGCTCTTGGCCTTGAATTTTTCTTCTCGCTTGTCCACGCACTATTGTACGTTTGTTATTGCGTGCGCTTTTTAACTTAAACCCTTTCGTTCCTTTGCTCAATAGTACATTTTCAAAAACAGCGTGCAGCTATTGATTTATAAGCGTTCCTATAAGTGGCGAGTTTACGTAAAAGACTCATAAATTATGGGATTTCCGCAGTAGCTGAACTTCATGAAATTTTGCTCGTTTCACTGCTTTAAGCTAACTCTTTACCTTTTCACTGTGGAACAGAATAGAAACCTTCTAGCTCATCCGGTCCTCAAATGTTTCACTGACAGCAACCATTGTTTTTGCTGCCACGCCCCGAATACTCAAACGCGCTCCCCTTGCTCTTCTTGTCATTTTGCCAGCGCAATACAACAAATCTTACTATTAAGCAGCTTTCCCTTAATTTACTGCTACTAAGTATAAGTCCTTTGTCAGTATTACAACCAATGTACGACTTTTTTACCTTTCTGGACAGGTGTTGGAGGTTACGAACTTACGCAAACGTCAGATTTAGTAAGGTCGTACCTTCAGTGCAGTGCAGCGTCTGTTCTAATAAAAATAAACTGTCCGAGGGACAGCAATATTTACTCTCCAATTTTGTTAAACTAATTGAACTGATGCTAGTGTAAGCCAATTAAAAAAGGATTGGGCAGAATAGTATAGGAACTCTTACATCAATTCTGTCAAAAGGTATGAAAAAAATTTAATGTATTATGTGTTTTATAGTATGCGTTTTATTGTACTATTTCAGTATCAAATTCAACAATTTATACAAATTTTGATAAAGTCATTAAAAAATAGATAAAAAATACTTTAAAAAATATTTAATAAATATATTGTATACAACTCTAACTATTGAGTTGTTGTACGTACTAAGGATATATGGCATTTTAAATATACAAATGTGTAATTACATATTTATATATATTCAAATTTGACTTGGAAAACGGAAAATGAATACATCACGATTTTTTCCCAAGCAATTTTTATGAAAAATTCGAAAGTACGCGCGAGTAGGTGAGAAAATGACAAAAAAGCAAGAGTATGGCCGTGACGTGCGTCATCTTTTTCATAGTAGTGAGCGCATGCATTATGAGCCGTGCGCGCTTCGATCAAGTGACGGTAAATTGAGCTAGTATCCCTATATCAGGCGCGAAAAAGTGTAACGCGCGCGAGATCACTCGCGGAATGGAGAGCCCTCTTTCCCATATTACACTCGCTGGGATATACAAATTTTGTCGACCACATATAACCCATATTTCTATGCATCGTGGTATTTCTGTCTCGAGCAGTCGCTGCTATCAAACGCGTACGCGTGCGAGACTCTGAGGGAAGTCATCTTTTGTTTTTCATTTTGGCATCTGCTCGCCTGCCAAACAGGTCAAGGTGATGGTGATCTAATCTAAAAATATTCAATTTATAATCTAAAGTCATCCTGAAGCAATTACGGTGGAATTAAAAAACTCAATTAGTTTTTTATTAAATCGTCATATATTCAGTCAAAACAAAACAAATTAATTCGTTTCAGAGCAACGCTCAACTGTGGATTTGTTGAATAGTCCTCAGCCAGAAAAGTGAAATCGTTGACCTACAGCCAATCCTAATTAAAATTTGAATTGTCAGTGCGGTACGTTATGGACCGCTTTAAGCATTCATACTTTGGATCAAGAAGTACTCAAGGTGGAGTTGACCAACTTACCCGGCCAATCATGCCCTGCGGTAGCTCTCGACTCAATAATTTCACCATCCATGGTGATGACAAAGTCGCGCGAAAGACCATAAAAGAATTTACGACTCTAAAGTAAATACCACGAAAACCATTCGTAAATTCCAACCCCAATAGTTATCAAGATGGCTAAAGTCGCCTCAGACTTTCGTTTTTCTCGAGATTTTTTCTCGCGGCTTACTCAAGCTATTTTACTGAATATTGAACGACCAACGCAGCGTAAGTTTAATAATTATTCACGTTATTTAACCACAAGTAATCATTTACAATATTTACAGCAGTAAGTGTAAACTATGGGTTCGGTCTGAGACACCGTCGTAATCGGATGTTTACTAATCGTTCGGGTTTGCGAGTATTTTCCTCACTGGCAGAGGCGCTGTGGCTTGTGTACGTGTAGAATATCTTGCGTCTATAAGTGTAGTTCTTAAGCTTGCAATAGTCAAATCTCGAGTGTTCAGGGGATGCTTCTAGCACCAAAGACATTCGCGTTAAAAAAATGCTTAACAACCAAACCCAACAACAGTAATCTCCAACCCGATCTTCGTATGCTCATAAAGTCCAGCAAATACAAGTGCTAACTACGGGACAGGATATCATTATATTGACGCGGTGGAAGGCATCGCCGTTCAAGAATTATGCCTTGGCTGTTGGAAAATTGACAGAACCCGCTAACATTCATTTCATGGTAGAATTTGAGTTCACTTGAGCAGTAAAGAAACCACTGAGAAATTAACGAAGAAGCACATACTCTTTAGACATTCGACCGTTAATCTAAACTCGTTAAATTATTTCAAATAAATACTATTCAAATTGTAGGTTTCAGTAATCAAAACAAATTTCAAACGAACGAAACATTTGTGTGCATACTTGTTTGTATTCTACAGCTACACGCAAAAGTGTCCAATCAATGATAATTTTAGGATTTTGTAACATATTACCGAGGCAAAGCCGATATTCAAATGTACGGTCGTAAAGTATTCGTGCATTATTTATGCGCGACAAGCACGATTTTCGCCTACTTTTTGCCATAAAAAGTCGTGCCGCTTGGCTTGGTTCCGTTTCAATCAACAGGTGGGCTTGTACGACTTGACCAGGAGAAGAAACTTGTAGGCTTTCCGATATTATACAAAACTAGTTGCATTCACTAGGTGGCCACCAATTTTTTTTTCGCAACAATCAAATAGGACAGTTTGAAAGCGGCACTCGAAGCTACTGCTCACCACTCCTAATAGCATTACCTCTTCATTACTTACAATTATTCTGTATCTTTCAATACCAATTGAAAGAGAGGCAATTGTTAAAATCTATTAGTGCCAATTGTCGTAAAACGTCGTGCTATAATTGACGAGTGTATTGTTATAGTTTTTACAAATGGATCTTGTAAGAATCCGCTCAACGATTTCTTACCGGTGCTTATTATTATTGGATATTAATTACTTCATAGAGTATGCCGTGCAATGTGTGAACAAATAAATTCAATGATGCGGTTTTTGTCGATGAGCCAAATTGAAAAAAAGAGCAAGATGCCAACTATTTACTAAATAGCCGCTTAGCATTATGTATTTAGAAGGCACGCCCCGAAAGGTGAAAGAGCCTTGAAACCCAAGCCCAAGCGGTAGCAAGTTCAGTTGTCATCATCGTCATGCCGTTCAATTTGCATAGGAACAAGATCATCGTCGGTTAATAATTTCAAGAGCACTAGACATTTGAAAAGAGAGAATAGTTTATAGGAGAATAGAAAAGATTCACCGAGCGAGAAGAGTAACAAGCTAGTAGTGTGAGTTTACAAATTTACTTTAATTGGTTGTCTCGTAAAATGTATATTTCTTTATTTTCCTACATATTTATCGATTCACCCTTCGACGCGGGCCACTCTTTTTGTGATCAAAAAAAAAGTCTGACCACCAATGACAGATTTTCAAATTATCGCATGAGTATAAAGTCAAACATACATGCGCCAACTCTTTCAGATATCATAATTAGTATCATAATCTAGTATCATAATTATTATAGTAATTAGTACATCAATAACTGCGCGATCAGAAAATCTCGAAGCATGCAGAGCAAACTATACGACCAACTTGACGAACCAATAAATTTACCAGCATTCAAAATGAAATACAATTAGCCGTATGGTCATAGCCAACGAGGCAATGTTAAAGAAAAGACGATAAATTATGCTAAAAAAGAGGCTATGCTCGTGACGATCCCAGAACCCGCGCCATATCATTACTACAGGGTATTCGGAGAATTCTCCGAGAGAATTGAAATCGAGAAGTACAGAAATCACGTTGCATCTGTCGAAGTGGCAGAACTCAAGCAGCTTCATCCTGAAGGTCCGATATAATTCCTCAAATAAAATATTTTTGTGTTTTAACAAGACCTGAGGACCACTGTGTAAAGTAAGACTGTCAAATAAAAATCTCGTATGGCATTTACGCCCGAGCGAAACGGCAAAGAATCTACTTTCCCGCACTTGCATTGCAATGTACTAATATGTAATTACTACTTTGTAAATGAAGTTTGTTGACATTAATATTACTTTCATGCCAATTTATTAACTATACATAAATATAAACTCCTATCCATGAGCATAAAAATTTTTTTTGATAAAGTACAAAGTTGCATAATGCTTTTTATTACTATTAGTTCTGCATTTTGCAAATCAAGAAAAATTATATTTATATTTGTATGATTACTTTATTACCATTCACTGCTCTTTTTAAATCTCATTATGCCTACAAATCTTATTTTATGATATTCTCTAGAGAATTTCAAATCTTTTGAAAAAAATTAAGAATACACTATTAAAAATTAAATTATTTAAAATTAGAAAAGTAATGAAATCTAAAAAAATGGTAAAATATAAAACAGATATGTTTATACATTAAATTATTTATTATTGATTCATATTAATTTTTAATAACTTTCGTTGGATCATTCACCTATGTTAGCTAAACTGACTATTTAGCCCAATTAAAAAATGAATAGAATTGCATACCGAAAATATATTACGAATATATGTCTACGATACTTTTCTCATAATAACGTTGAATTTTTAAATGAGCCTCCTGGGGTATCGACATATAGAATGAACCATACATGACATCTTGCGTGAATAAGCCGAATGGAAATGGTCTTATCTAGTGTTCTGTATATTGACTTTGGGCAGAGACTTACCGACATCAGTGTAGTTTGCGATTGGTCGAAGTCAAGAGCATGCGCTGTGCAGAAGCTCTATCTGCGATTGCGCAGTGCGCACTACCCTCGACAGAATCGTAGATCAAGCTAGTAGACAGAACCCTAAATCAAGCTAGTAGCGCATTTCAGTCCATACATTCGTGGTCAATTCAGTATCTCAGTAGTAGCAACGAAGTAAGCGTCTTATCTTCGTTTGTATAGTAGCCACGAATGTATGAACTGAAGTACACCGCTGACCACTTTTTCTTACTAATCTAAATCTCATCCTAACTATGGAGTCCGCGAGAGTTGAGAAATATAATCATATAATATATATTGTTATAATATAACATACTACTACCTGTAATAAAAACTGTTATCATATAGCCGGTGTAACCACTTTAGTTTGTAAAATATTTTTCTAAAATAAGAACGTGGGGAAACTATTTTTAATTTCTTGATATACCTACGTGTTTGCAATCATGGATGAGATCGTAAAGTTTCTCAAGACGTTAGGCGTCGGTCTTCGACCTACTAATGATCCTTTCTTGAATAATACTTATGAAGTATGTAAAGTATTTGAAAGATTTGGTGTAACCGTTGAAGATGAAGAAGAATTATGCCACGAAATGTAAGAAATAGTCAGAGCAATGATCACGCATTCATAACCTTTTAATGTATTTTTATTTTTAGAATGAAAGAATTCAGGTGTAATGCTTGCAATGATACTTTTCAAAATCTACTTGACTATGAATTGCATTATCATAACTCTCATCATTTTATCTGCACTGAATGTAAGAAATGGAGACCCACAGCTCGACTTTTGGAAATTCATGTTCAAGAAATGCATGACAGCTTTTTTAAAATTCTTGCAGATAAGCAACCAATGGTATGTAGTAATGTTCAATTTACATATTTATTTACATAATTTAATAATATTATTTGGTTTCAGTATAAATGCTTAGTCTCTGGATGCGCTATGAAATTTAAAGATTCAATAGAACGAAAAGAACATTGTATTGAAACTCATGCATTTCCTAAGAATTATCGGTTTTATTTCAATCATGATAATACAAATGAAAAACATAAAAAAATTACACAAAGTGACTCAGCCATGGAAGTTGATGAAAAGAAACAATGTGATAAAAAAGAGCAAAAATTATACTTTACAAATTCTAAACAAAAGACTTTCAAGAAGCAGAAATTCAATATTAATATTGGCTCAACTATTGAAGAACCAAAGATTGAGTCTACATTTAAACCAGTGACAATGTTTATTCCAAGACAAGTTCAACAAAAATCTTATGCTAAGAAGTTGACTCAGAACAAAGGAATGGAAACAGAAGTTTTGGAATCTGGAAGTTTAATGGAGTTAACTGATTCTCTATCAAATATCTAGAATTATTTTTAAGGTTACATATATTTATACATAAATACAATTTAATCAGTCATCACCGCTAAGTATATGTTTATTTTATAATGAAATTTTATGATGATTTCGTCATTTCATCTTATGATTACGAAAAATATGTACAATTAACTTACAATTTCTTTTAAATCACACAGCATAGTTTTCTTTAAAAATACAGTAAAACTTAATATAATCAACAATATAAATTTTCTAAAAACGAATTCAAACCTAGGAACGGTAAATTAATTTGCTGAGTTTACTATTTTCCTCTTTCAAGAGTGCATTTTCATATTTCAGCCTGAGAAACTCTTGTTCAAGAAAAGCAGCTCTGATGGCAATTTCATCTTCTTTTGCTCGCCTTGCATCTCTGGACCTTTTAGCAGCTTCATTGTTCTTTCTCCTTCTCTCCCAGTATGCAGCATCCTTGTCATCAAGTGTGCTAGTAGGTGAAATTGGACTTTTACTGACCCGACGCATCTTGATGTTTGTACCTTCATTTGTTCTCTTTACTGACTCCAGCATTCTATTACGGAATTCGCAAAAAGCTTGCTTTTGGTCTGGGTCGAACATCATGTCAGGACCAAGTGAAATAGACAGGGGATCTTTTGGATAGGCCTTGAAAGGTCTTGGAGCCTTTTTACTATCCTCCACAGAAGTGTTCATTCTACCCGGCTCTTCCATTGTCGGATTAGAAATTTGACTGCGAGGTAAACTGGAGGATGTCGTCAAATTCGAGATGGTAGGTGGCATGTTCATTGAAGTTGCCACTGGCATACTTAAACCAATTGGTATGATAGGGTAGGATGGGTATAGATTAACTAAACCATCACTGACGACGGGACTCGTCTTTTCGTAAAGCGGCTGAAACTTGTTTTTCTTAGGCGAGTTAGTATCGGATGGTGGAGTCAACATATAAGGGCGATTCTCATATATATTTTTCCTTTCGTGATTCGTACTAATAAAGTTCGTCGAGTCGTGAAGACGGGGGTATAGGTGATTTTTAGTTTGCCGAATTTTCTCATCATCTTTTTCTTCATTTTTCTTCTGGTGATGGTAGCAATTCAGATTCTTGCTATTGTTATTATTTGTTTCCTCGTTGTGTTCTAGGTACGATGAACTACAAAGCGGCGATACACTGCAGCAGTCTTTATCGCTATCGCTGGAAGTAGAGGATGGAGAACTAGGCGATGGCACTTTTTTACAGGTCAAATCGACAGGATTGTCCACTTCAGATTCGATTTTCGCACCAGTAGGATGGCTTATTCGTTTATACGAATCCATTGAAGCTACTTCTAATGTCATATTAGTGGAATCTCTTCAACCTAAAATCAAAGTTATTTTTTAGATGATAAATTTAAGTACAAAATACTATTTGATAAATTACTTTTAAATAATAAATAGTGATGAACTTTATTTCATATTGTATAGAACTGCATTACTAAATATAGATTTTATTGATATAATTTCAAAGTATTTTTTTTTTCAATTCAAACAATTCAAAACTTATGCAAATGCTCAATAGTGAAAATTAAAAGTTTTCGATGTTGGCTTATACAAATCGTACTAATAAAAATATCTGTGGTTTAAAGTTTCTATACATGATGCACGTAATTGATTTTCATTTTACACGTATTATCTTGTGTAAATATTAATGAATAATATTATACACGGGAACCATTTTTTTCTATCCATATTTTTAATGATGGATAATTTATAATAATATATGTTAAAAAAATGGATGTGTACGTGTATAATATTATTTTTATTAATTAACAAAAATGTGTATAAACTTTAAACCACAATTCTGTCAAATAATTTAATTATATGTATTATTAATTTACGGACAATCTTTCAAAACATTATTTGTGTAAAATAGTAGTTCGCTCGTGTACAATAATACGTATTCAATAATTAATGTGTCCAATAAGTAAAAAAAATTTAAGTATACAATTATGATATTTAGAATATTCCTTTTAATTAGTTTCCAATTAATTTATGTGTCGAAAATAAACGTGTCCGATATTTTGCACTTTTTAATAAATATTATTTTATTTATATGTTCAAATTAAATATTACTGTGTTCAATAAAACATTTAAAAATTCGCATTGAATAAAATCATGTAGAATCGATATGTGTACAAAACGGACCCAGCTGAGGATTCAAGAGTTGGGCCCAGAAGTGGTTATAGAACGTAACTCCATACAAAAATAAAATAAATTATAAATCAATAATATAAACATGTAAAATTATAATGATTGGCCAACAAAAATAATACCCATTTATCAAGTTTTAATGAATTACGTAAAAGTAATTTAATAGATATTAACATTTCTTTGTTACATTTATGGACTTTAAATTTACATGGATTTTTCTTAAAGCCGAGTCAGAGTTTCTGTTTCCGTAAGGCAAATTGAAAATAACGAGAAGTTTTGTAACTAATTTTAACATAAATATATAAAGTACTCCGAATAAATCTTGAAATTTGCCTTGCGAAAACGACACAGAAACGTCTTATCATCAGAAAAACAAAGCAAACGTATAGTCAGTAAATGTAAGCACAAAATATTAAATTTCAATAAATTACTGCAATGTAATTATTATTTATAATTGTATAACATTGAAAATTTTTTTAAACTAATTAATTTTGTCCTTTCTTTGGTAAATGAGTATTATTTCGGGTAGCTAAAGACTGAACCGGTAGCCCACACGCGTTTTTACAAAGTAAACAAAATCTAGCTGCACTCGTAACACATCTTAGGACAGATCCTATATATCCAGCTAGCGATGGAAATAGATTGTCTAGTGTGAGGATTACACCTGATCGAAGTGAGGGTGGACAACACAGAAGACGAGAATCTCTTCCCAGAAAATGTTAAGTACTAAAACATTTCGACTAGTGCCAGAAAGTAATTTCAACCTCATACGAACCTTTGCGCCCACACGAAGCGAGGGTGTAATTTCTTTTTCGCACATATATCTAACTTCATTTTTCGAGACGACGTATGTGGGACGAGCTTTTATGGATGCTCGATTTCTCAAGCGTGCGTAAAGTCGAGTTCCCGCGCACGGAGTGTCGAAAAATATTCCACGCAACGTGCGGATAAGAATCAATTTGAGAGAATGTTTTTCACCGTGCGTGCGGTAAAATCGTACTTTTCGTGAGGCACGTTAGAAACGGACCTTTTGCGCACACAATTAGGAAAACTTTTTTAAGAGTATTAATAATTACAAACTGAACATTGAATAATTTCAAGCAAAAAAAAAATGAAAACATAATAGAGAAGGAAACAATAAAAATAGCGTAAAGTAAGAATTTCAAGGCACCTTATGACAATTTGTAGAAATACTGAAATTACAGTAATGATGTATACTATCTCCAAGTTCAGCACGAAAATTCCACAAAGTCATAAGTTTCCAAAAATTCCAGAAACCTAGAAAACTATGTCGAAGTTGACACTCTGCTAGCCAGCAGCACACTGAATGGGCTTTTCCCGATGGTAGTCGGACATAGATTATTAGTGAATGATCCTTGGGTAGGGCGGCGCATTTATACAAACTGCTCCATCCCTCCAGAAAAGCCTACCGTCATGCTTGTCAAACGTACTGACCCAAGGAGTGGGGGAAGTTTGGGTAGATGACGACTTCCCAAGCAAAAAGTAGGAAAAACGGAAAGAAAGGAAAATGAAGAAAAGAAAAAATGGCGGATAACGTTCGAAAAACGTGTAATATTTAGAAATACTAAAAGGCAGATGTGAAAGTTATTTTCAAGTAAAATTATGGACTCGAAAAAATGTTATAGTTAAACTAAAACTCTAAAATTTTCTTCTCCTGCACCATTTAAAAAAATGATAGAGGAGATGGCTTTACATACTCATGACTATAGGGAACCAAACTAATGTGTTCAAGTACCTAGTGTACCTCTGCAACGTTCCACATGGACGTAGTTCTTGAAGGTACAATACCAGTAACAATAAAAATAATAACAATAAAAAAACAGTGAAATCAAAGTATTGTAATTGACATAGAACTAACACGCGTAAACTGCTCTAATGTTTTATTATGAATCGATTGCATAACTTGTAACAGCTTGTTTTATATCTACCAAAAGCAGTGAAATGAATCTTTGTATGATGAATTTGTTGATCTACTCCGAAATATCATTTTTCAATTCAATGATATTCCAATTGAGTAAATACTACCTAATACTACCAAAACGTTTGCATTGTACTGAAAGTGCGTTTTGGTTGTTATAAACATTGTTTACTACTGATCAAAGTAGCTTTCTTTCCGTGGCAGTTCTGCACGGCTGCTATTTATTTTTATCTGATGAAATTATCAATCTCACTTTCGATGGGAAATGTATTTTAGTGCTGAAAACTGACGATATGTGATAATAATAAGCGTGTTTGAAATATCGCACGCTAAGGTTATTACGGCGCCAAATTTTGAAATTTATCTGTAATTACACAAAACTTTTTCAGGATTTACACCAACATAATGAATTTAGTTATAAGAGCTGCTTGTGACAACCGTACGAACACTAATGAAACGTTGTAGATGTAGCGATTGTAAGCACATAAAATGCATCCAATTCGTAGTATTTCGTCTAATTAGTTTTAGTGCTGTTACCAACATACGCAATAATTGACACGTTACAAGCAAGCAAGCAATTATGATTTGATGACAACAGGGGCATCAAAAGAGATAATCGCCAACTGATGAATGACTTAAATTTCTCGAGTGTTTATTTTAAAAAGGTTTGCGGCCAGGCGGTCAAATAATTTGATAGATAATAGGATAGCAAGCATGTAAATGCGCATCCGTAAATCCGCAACATCAGCAAGGGCCCCGAAGGTCCCCGGCTTTGAATCGTTCTTCTCACGTGGACAGAAGCCTCCCCACGCACTGTTGTACGTTGATTGCGTGCGCTTTTTAACTGAAATACTTTTTCGTTGCTCTGCTCTACGATTCATTTTCAAAAGAAGTATTGATTTACAAGTGCTTTCGTAATTGGCGAATTTACGTAAAAGACTCATAAATTTGAAGGTTTTCGCAGCAGCTTAACTTGATGAAATTTTGCTCGTTTCACCGCTCTTGGTTCATCACCCTTTAAAATCTTCACCATAGAATTCAATGGAAATCCCATTCTGTCTTTCCTCAAATGTTTCATTGGGAAGTACCATTGTTTTGACTGCCACGCCCATCAGCACTTAAGCCGCTACCTTGATCTTGCGTCTTCTAGCCCGTGTTAAATAACAATTCCTACTACTAAGCAGCTTTCATCTTGCAGGTTGCGAACTTATTTATATGTTGCGTTTAATATTGATTAATATTCAAGAGAGAAGATTGATTTTTTTTGGAACTAGTATAAATCAGTTCAGAAAGAATTGGGGAGAACGTTATAGTAATTGTCGCAAAGGTTTTGTGCAGCAGGTAATACTTGCATTACGCGTTTTATATGTCAAACAAAATTGAATGTATTATTATTTACATGTTTTATAATGTCATTCAAGTATCAAAGTCAATATTTATAAAATTTCCGATAATGTAATCGAAAACTAGATAAAAAATACTGTTACAAAATATTTAGTAATGTGTGTGTGTATTTAAGTACTTTTTATTGAGAAAAAAATTGAATAAATTATTATTGAATATACTTAAACTATTGTTCGGGTCATTTAAGAACATTTAAAAATACAGTTAGTTATATGATTATGTGTCTGTCTATTAACTGTGTGAGTATGTATGCGTATCTAAATCGAGGGAACGATCGAATAACAGAGCTGCGAGTCCGTTCACAGTCCCTTCAAAAATGTTACACACAATACAACACAAAAACGGTTGATTGTTACTGAAACCATGTATATGTAATAGATTTAATTTTTAGTGAAGAATTAGGAGAATAGTGAACGCAAGAGTAGATGCTTGTGTAGCAAATTATCAGAAATATTTATGTTACTGAATATTTGCAGTGACATTAGTACTTGGGGCATTATTTCTTTGTCTATCATCACATTCATTCCACTCATTTTTCGATTAATAGTACATTACGATACAAGTGCGGGAAAGTAGATTGTTGTCTGGGTGAAAAATCACATAAGACGAGAATCTCTTTCCTTAACATCTATAATATTGATAAAATCGAATAACTTTATGCCTATAAAAGAAAGCAATTATTGAGAACTAATATGCGTTATCCATGAATTCCTCGAGTAATTGAGTAAGTAAAGAGTAAGTAAAGAAGCTCAACAGCCGCCAATCAGTCAGACTAGACACCTTTCTTTGATACTCATCAGTACTACCTCGATTGACAGGTGCAAGCACGTGGCGCGCTTGCATTACTAATGATAAATTTTTAAATTGAAATTAACATATAATTGCAACTAAAAATTTAAGCAACATTATCTAAACTCCTGATGAGCGTAGAAACGTTGTTTTTTTATTAATTAATGGTACTTTGATATAAAAAGTAATAAAAACTGCATCTATCCGATAATACCATGTCTTTGATTGAAATCAGCAGAGAAAAATGATTAGCGATCGAGAATT